TTTTGGTGAGGTGGGGAGGGGGTCATTGAGGGGGCCCCAACCGATAGGCTCCTGGCCAGTGTATGAAAGGGAAAGCCAGAAGGAGAGGGGGTGGTAGCTTAGTACATTTTGCTTCTTAATCTCTTTATGACCATGTGGGCTGCTTAAACCTATACTAAGGCACGTAGAATTGAAAATGAACCATCACATGTAGGTTATTTTTTATACCCTTAAGTCCTGCCCAAGCCAGGGCTGGGCCAAGGCCCTCAAATGTCCAGCTGTGGCCTCCTCCTGCTGCAGATGAGGAGTGGGCTGCAGGGAGGGCCATGGTGCCTGCTCTGTCTCCATCCCGGTCTCTGTCTCTCAGGCTGACCAGGGCACATCCAGGTGGGTGAGTTGGGAATTGCGTGCTGATTGCTGAGGGCCTGGATGATCACTATCTCAGAGGGAGCAGCTGTGATCTGGGGAGGGCTAGAAACTGGAGAGGAATCCAAGGAGAGGTGGTGCCTCTAGTCCCTTCCTCTCTGCATCCCCCTCCCCTGTTTCTCCAGCCATCAGGAGGACACCAAGAAAAAGACCCACGAGGCCCAGACTGAGGGCCCCTGTGTGTACAGTCCCTTTGAGGTCCCCTTGTACCAGGGAGGGTCCTGAGTGCACACGGCCATCCTCTGTCCACTTTGCAGCTCCCCATATATCTCATCTGGGAGCTGTCTCAGGGGTGTCATGTCTTCCGGGTCCCTCGAGGCCGTGCTTTTTCCAGGTTCCCACCATATGGCCCCTGTCTCCCTGTGTTTCTTGCAGATAATATGGACAAGGTGATAAGCGGATGTCCCTGGGCTATTTGGGGAATGGGGACCAGCTCCCTGTCAGGGCAGCTGTGCTCCCTGTTTTCATCCTATGTCCAGGTGTTACATTTTCCAGCCCCCGAGGGTCATAGTCCCCAGGGGGCTGTTTTTTGGGCTTTGTTCTGTACTCTGTGGCCTCACCTTGCCCTCTTTGAGCCAATTTTTTTCTTCTTAACATAGTCATGGCCTGGTAAGTTTAAAATAAGAGACAGTCAGAATCATTTCCCCCACAGCCAGGTTGTTTGAGGGGAGAGGAAAAGAGCAAGCAGAAAGTTTTCAGTTTCTGCAAAGACAGAGACAGTGCAGGGCACAGTGAGGGTCTGGGGTGTCCCGGAGACCTAAGTGTTTCTGCCATTTCCGCACTTCCGTGTGTCTGGTCAGTGAGGTGGTGGTGACTCATCCTTGAACCTAATGGCACTGTCAGTTGGCGCCTCAGGCCTGGGCAGATGGGACGGTTCATCCCCTGCCCTGCAGCAAGAGGGCCCTGTCCAGGGGGCACCTACAGCATGGGCAGTGCAGGTCTGTGGTCGCTCCTGCTCTCACCTGTGGCATCTCCTGTAGAGGGATTGTCAGGTCTGGTTCCCTGTAGGCAGGAATGGTTTCACTGGGACAATGGCCAGAAAAAGGACATGAAAATCACATGTTAATTTCTCAAAATTCCTGCTTTAAATGTTGATGTCCATCAACATAATTTCAGCTGGAGAATCTTAATAGGATGTCCTCCAATACTGATGTTGTAAGGGACGTTGAATGGAACAGGAACACAAGTTTAGAGCTTCCTTTCTCAGAGGATCCATGTGGGAGATGGTGCCTGTGGCAGTGGCAGTCCCCAGGTGCAGAGAGTGCATAGAGGCAGCCTCAGGCTGAGGGGTCTGAAGAAACCCCCTACTGCACAAGGAGTAGGAGAAGATCCCCTGTGGGCAGCAATGGCAGTGGCCTGGGTGGAAGCCCTATTAGGAACGGGACAGGAAGGGCTTGCAACCCCACTAAGCAGCAGCCCTGGGGTGGAACTGCATTTCCAGGGGTGAGTGGACAGGCAGGAACAAACACAGCCCATATGCAGGTTATGAGGAGGGGAGGCTGGGCCTCCTTGAGCAAGGGAATCACCAGCATCAGGTCAGGTGCAGACTCCATGGCAGCCACATATTTCCACGCTGGGCCTGTGAGCCCCAGGGCTTCCTGATGGGATCTCCAGTTAGGAGCTGTGTGCTCAGAGCTGGGAGGGGAGGAACGCTGAGCTGCAGGTGGAGGGCAGAACCCACAGTGTGCAGGGTCTGCCCTAGTGTGCAGGTGCCTCCGCAGATGAGGAGGTCCTGGGGTCTGAGGGGTAAAGGACTGTGTGTGTGACCCAGCCCAGGACTAGAGGACATGGAGACACGGCCAGGACCTCTCTTGGGGAGGCCTCCCACTGTGTCAGGGCTGGTCAGGTGTGAGAGGAGGAGGAAAGGGCACTGAGTTTCCTCCTGGGTCTTGTTCCTGAGTCCTGGGGTCCTTTCACTCATTGCCGGGGTGGGTGCTGGGCACAGGGCAGGTCCTGATGCTGATGGAGTCACGGGAGGGCACTGGCAGGGGCTGGGAAAAGTGTCATGGGAGGGAGAAAAAAGTGGGGACATCATCTTCCCTCAGAGAAAGGGTGCATCTGATTTTGGAGTGACTGAGGAGGGAGAAGTCCTCAGGGAATAAAAAGCAGCACCCTGCACCCAGTGGAACATTTACTGTTTCTTTCTTTTCTCCAGAGCTGGTGAGCCTGCAAGGCCTGGATCAACGCGTGGTTGGGACAGGAGACCACCAGGGCAGTGCACAACTGAGATCTCAGTCTCTGGTGTCAGCTCCTGGGTCCGCTGGCTCCACTGAGGGCAGCTAGACTCTGCAGCCAGGCGGTCTGGATTCAGCTCCTTGCCTATGTCTCACCAGCACGTTCTCTCTTGGTGCCTCAGTTTCCTCATCCATGACATGGAGAAACTATGAGCATTTATTTCTTGTGGCTGGATGAATGAAAAGGGTTAATATATATGAGGTGTTTGCAGCTGTGCCGTATTATTTTTGTTTTTTATTATATTTGATATATTACATATGCAGTAACTGTATTATTATAGGTGACCTTTATGAGTGAGTGTCCTGCTTATGGCTCCTTGTGGGGAGCCCAGGACCAGCTTTCCTGGCACCTTGAGGTCCTGTCATCTCTGTCACACTCTCCTGCATTACCCCATTCTATTCTGTCTTCATATTTTATACTATAGATATTTAGCTCTTAAATACACATTTCCGGTCTGCATTTTATTTCAAGTGACTGGGAAGGGACAGAGTGTGAGGTTCAGGAGAGAAGAAGAGGTCTGTCTCCATGCCTTGACACAGCACAAAGAAATCTCCCCTCCTCCCCCACATCTCCCTGTCAGTTCTCATTGAGGGACAGATTCACAGCAACACTGAAAGGGCTGGGAAGGGATGGGGGGAACATCTGGGGCCAATGTTCAGGGACTGACCCTGTGGGGGACACCTGCCCTGCAGAGTTGGAGCTCACATGTGATGATGTAGAGC